AAATAAATAATTCTTTTGAAATTTTTGAAATACCTCCGAAAAGATGTCCAGACGAAAAATTTTAAAAGAAACTTGCGATCTCAGGAAGACAGGAATTATTTTATCGACCAGAAGATCTCTCGTGCGAATTTATCGACTGTAGAAAAATCCGGCGTCGAAACTGAAGATCGAGCGAGTCTTGAACTTATCGATCGATACCCGATATATTACCTGCTCTGCTATACTTTTTGATATTCGTACAAAAAATTATGATTTCTCAAGTACTGTTAAGAAACAAGAATACGATAGAAATCGACTACAGTAGAAATTCCAATTCCCAACCTAATCCTGGACATTCTTGTTACTTTGATCTTTAAATACGAATATTTAAACTTTCAACATAAAATATATGTGTATATTCAATACATGTTCATATATTTTACATTGACAATTTCAATATTCGTATTTAACAAAAACGATAAAAATGTTAGATATGTGTCTTGACACTGACACTTTTACTTAACTTTATCTAACAAGGAAATCCACAAATTTAGATCAAAATAACAGATACATTTTTTATCATATGTGAAGTTTCGCAAGTTTAGGGGGTGAAATACCCTTTTGAAGAAAACCGGTTTTTTTCATTCAAAATAAATATAATAAAAACTATAAAAGATAGAAAAAAATATTTTGAATAAAAGTTGAATGGTTTAAAGAGTACTTTACAGAAATTATTTTAATAATTATAATAAGAAGAAGAATATTAATAAAAAAAAATTTTTTTTCAAATAATTTCTGTGAAATACTCTTTAAACCATTCAACTTTTATTCAAAATATTTTTTTCTATCTCTTATAGTTTTCATAATATTCCCTTTAAATAAAAAAAAAAATGATTTTCATCAAAGAGGTATTTCACCCCCTAAACTTGCGAAAGGGCACATATAATAAAAAATTGTTATTTTTATCTAAAGTACAACATATTACAAGTTCATGAAAATCGAAGGCGGACGCTGTGTACGGAGAAAAATAATTTGCTAGCCCAGCAAGTTTTCTACTAGTCTAGCAAAATCTTTTCGTTATATTATATAAACAGCAAAAAAATTTGCTAAGAGTACTAATCATTATTTGCTGGACATAATTTACTGAATCTACAAATTATTTTGCTGTAAGAATTATGATGGATTTATATAAGTAGTTGTAGTTTTGCTTCAATAGCAAATAAATTTGTTAAGGATACATTATTTTGCATCAATAGCAAATTAACGTGATTCTTAGGACAAATACATTCAACAAATTTTTTCTATTCTAGCAACAAAACTACTTCTGCTCTGATAACGGATAATTTGTAAAATTAGTTACGTCAACTAAATTTTTTTTATGTCACTATGAATATGCAGTAGCAACGACGATTTTGCTAAAAGAGCAAAATTATTCCGTGTGGGTTTCCTTGTAAGATATCATGGGAGTTATAATTCGCAAGCGCGGATAATATTCCAGCACACACACGTTTTAAAAATGTTTTCTAAACGTTAGAACGTTTCATAACCGTTTCCAAAACGTTTCATAACGTTTCTGAAACGTTTTTCATGAGTAAAAATGTCCACTCAAAAAACGTTAGGTAAAACGCCATTTTTGCGAAAAAAATCATTGAAGAAACGTTTTATAAACGTTTCATAAATGAAACTTTTCATGAATGAATGGTTTCAGAAAAGTTCTTATTAAAACGTTTCTTATTAGTACTTTACGATTCTGAAACGATAGATATGTTTAAGAAACGTTTCTGATACGTGTATGTGTTACCTGGGATGCAAATTCAAAAGTTCCTAAACTGTTGTGACAGTATATTCGATGCGGCCAAAGCAAAGAAACCCATTATTTGCAGAAGTGAGCCGCGCTCCAATGCATTACGTTAATGCGCTCTGAAGGGTATAGCGGCGGAAAGATCAAACGAATACTTTAGAAATTAACGTCACGATTGTGCATCGTCATATGCGTCATTGGTATGAGAGCATAGCGACGTATTTTCGTCGGCGACGAATATATTTCAACGAGTCTCTCGTGCTTTTTGACAAATCTCCGCGAATTATCTCGCAAATTGGCTGACACACGAACTGATATCGGCCTCCAGCGATCCGCCATATAATCTTCGCGATATTGAACAGTCTCCTCCCCAAAAAAGATGAAAAAAGAGAAAGGAAAACATTGAAAGCCATCGCGTATGAGGGCCGTCCGGTCACAGGTCCAGGCGTTTTAACCGGTTCCTTATCCTTCGAATTTCTACGGCTATTTTTCAGAGATAGAAGGACACATCGGTCTATATATAGTTCAACGATCTTTCGCGAGTCCCTGTAATTTCGCCGGACGCACAATGGTTTTGTGTCCTCGCGTCTTTCTTCATTCGCGCCTCTTTCTTTCTTGTTTCTTTTTATTCGTGTATCGGGGCACGCGCGCTCATTGTGAGTCACGGTGTTTTGAATAGTTAAATCGAGAACGTGACAGAAATCGCCGATCGTCCAGACCGACAGTCTACGATCGGTTCTTTCTGTTTTTCGGCGGCATCTACACGGAGAAAATTGTACGGAGAGAATTGCACTATAGAATTCTGTAAGTAAAGAATAAATCGACATTTTGCAGTAATTTATTATTCCTTCGTGTGTTGCGATATATGCTATTTGTATTTTTGGAACTGAAATGTCCTGTTAAGATATTTGTTATGTTTCTAGCGAAATTTTCTGTACGGAAAGAATTTTATAATGAATATCATTGTAGAATTTTGTAATCGAGGGATCGATTAACATTCTGCATTAATTTATTATCTTTTCATTTCATATATACTATTTATATTTTAGGAGCTGAAATATTTACTATAAAATATTTGTTTTAAAATACTTACTATATTTCTTACGAAACATTACTTTAAGAAACATCACCTGAGGAAACATTACTTTAAAATGTTCAAATTAACTTAAAATTCTTAAAGTTACTTAAAGTTATTTATAGTCAACTGTAAGTAATTTATACTTAATTATAAAGAACGTTAAATAACTTTAAGCAACTTTAAATTAATTTGAACAACTTAAAGTAATTTTTCCTAAGAGAATTTACTGTGCAACATAGAGCCTTATTCTGAACTCTCTTTTATCGAGAGATGTACCACTAAAAAATGTATTTACTCGTTAATTAAGAGGAATTATAAGTTATATTTAGACGTTTTTATCGACAGAAGAGAATTCAGAATAAAGGCCATGAATTTTACTGTTTATATTTAAGCTTCCATTAAGAAAAAAAAAAAATTCAAAACCGGCTCCAATTTTAAAGCTGTAGTCTTTTAAGGCTCCCTGTATCTCGCCAGCCATGTCAAATTTGTGACGTCAGAAGCGAGAAATGTCAGCATGTTTGCTGATAAAAGTTCATTTTTTAATAAAGATAGATATAGACGAAAGAGTATTTAAGATAACTTGAGTACTCTTATAAAATTGCAAAGATTATCTCTTTTCCTTAATGATTAATAAAAGTTGTATAATAAATGGTGAAATGAGATACGTAAAATGAGGAAATATTTTGTCTGCCTGATTTCATAAACAGTATAATTATTTGGCCCACACTGCCAGAAAAATATAGTAAAATTGAAAAAGAACTTATATGAATAAAACTATAATATTCTCTCTGTGTATATTTGGCGTACCATACGTGCAGATCTCGACAACGGGAGCGGCAGAGGACTCGTATATCGCGCATGATAATTTCGTATTACATTAACAGTCACATCGCGCTTGTATTCTTTCATTTCCCCTTGTTTCTTGCGTGGAGTCAATTGCACGACCCAGTTCGTCTGGTGTCGTCCTTTCACCGATGTTTTGCCGGAGAAATATTACAGTTTACCTACATTTTCCCCCATCGCGATAAAATCGCGATATTGCGCGCGCGTCGCAATCCTTCAAAACGTCTCCTCTTCCCGAAGAAGGATCACGTATGGCGAATATATAATATATCCGTTTCAGCGACATATGTTTATTTTCTCATTTAATTATTCACGGGAAAACATCTTTTGTGGTTCTACAAAGCGAGAAATACACTCGTAAGAGTAGAATAATAAATTCCATTAGCTTCCATTAAGAAATAAAGAAAAAATTCGAAACCGGTTCCAATTTCGAAGCTGTAACCTTTTAAGGCTCCCTGTATCTCGCCAGTCATGTCAGATTTGTAACATCAGAAGCGAGGAATGTCAGCATGTTTGCTGATAAAAATTCATTTTTGAATAAAGATAAATATAGACGAAAGAGGATTTAAGATAATTTGAGTACTCTTATAAAATTCCCAAAGTTATCTCTTTTCTTTAATAATCAATAAATAGTTGTATAATAAATGGTGAAATGAGGAAATATTTTGTCTGCCTGATTTCACCATTTATTATATCACTATTTATTAATCGTCAGGAGGAAGGGATACCTTTCGAACAATTTTACAAGTATGTTCAAACAGTCTCAAGTGCTCTTTCGCCCATATTTAGCTTTATTTAGAAATGACGCGTAACATTCATCAGTGTATCGTCCCTCGCTTCTGACGTCACAAATTCAGTACGGCCGCGGCGAGATACAACACTGAGAGAAAAATGTATGATATTTGGAACTATAATGGCAAAGATTATAATTAGGAATATCATTTTTATAGTAAATATCACCATAATGTTTGTAATATTTACAATATAAGCATAGTATAATTGATACTTATGTAAAACTTTTATCGAGAATGATAATTATTTGAAATAAAAAATATAGTAAGATAGCAAATATTAAATGGTAAGAGAAATTAACTATTTTATATAGTCAATATAATTGGAATATTTGGAAAATATAACTATATATAACTATATTTTAAAGCGTGCCTTACCATACACATAGAATAATAAGATGGTGGCTGTGTTCTGCTATATCTTCATATTTAAATGAGTAAATCTGTGTTCATTCTGCTATATCTTCATGTTTAGATAAACTATAAATATATGTTTGAGGCCAAAACGAAATATAGTGAGATTATAGTTATTCCAACTATTTTTTTCTCTCAGTGAAGGAACTTTAAAATGTTGAAATTGAAGCTTTATTTGATCTCACTGTGTGTCGTCGAGCGTCTGTCACAATTCGGAGGCGAGCGGGACTATTGAATTGCCATTTCCTGCAGGGAGAACGCGGATTTTCGCCTGATTAATTTGACTTTTTACAATAAGGATTACGTGACAGCGCAATATTCGTCACGGTTCGCGTGACGGATTGCAGCCTGCCTTTTGCGCAATGACGAAAACGCAATAACGAAGTTATCCGACGGACGAAAACCTCATGCAATATCCGCAATTATCTTCACCACACACGTGTGACACGTGCACAAATGTGACACGGCATGCATCTCAGTGTACGCGATGAAGAATTCTAATCGACCTCGAGTCAACGGAGGAAATTATAGAGAGGTCTCGTACAATTTGTGAAAGACGGAAAAGAGACGCAGTGATCGCCCGTCAGTGATTGAAGAAAATGTCAATTTAACTGTTAGTTAAATTTCATTACTAGTGGATAATAGAATTGAAATTTTATCATAATTCAATATCAGTGATAAAAAGTTTTTATTTAATTATAATATAATATTAATGATAGAACTTTAATTTAATTATTGAGATTATTAATAGGTGCATGCAGAAAGAGAACATTCTTATTCTAAAAATATCTTTGTTTGTGACGTGTAGATCTTGAAATGAAGTTACATGACGCTAAAGAAAGACAAGTTACTCGCATCAATATATTTCCATACAGTACAAGAGTTTGAAAAAGATTTCAGAAAGATCTCAGAAAAGTTCAGTGTTTCTGAAACCTTTCTGAAAGCTTTTTGCAACTTCTGTGCTGTATGAGTTTATATGATTTAACGAAAAAAAATATATTCTTATTAAGAAATAACTTTCATGAATGGGAAACACAAAATATTAGGTCAAAAATATGATATTCTTAAATGTCGAAAGAAGATATCGTTAGAATTATTAGAATAATCATATTGCACTACCATTGGCGAAAATTATTTTTGAACAATATAAACAAGGATTTCTCCTCATCGAACCATATAAAATATACAAGGTGATTCCCCTGAGGTATTTTCAGAAAAAAATGTTTGGAACAAAAGTTTCTTACTTTTTTGTATGTAATTCGAATATGCAATCAAAAGTGCTATGTTCCATTTAAAAAAATTTAATTGGCCTTAAAATGTCCTCAACACCTCTACTCGTAAACTAATCGTTTCTACCATATGATGTCCCCCTTTACTGAGCATGTCGATATAAACAATTTTTTCATATATCTTCAAATTTTGCTAATTATTAAATCGGTCGCCTTATACGAATCAACCTGCATACTTGCAGGTAACTTATCCTCGTTACTAACGCCATGTAATCTTATTTGCAGATTAACATGCAGATAACAAGAAATAAAGGCATTTCCCGAGCACGAATGTTCTTTTTTCTGTGTACATTAGTTTTTATCGAATACTGATTATTTTTCTGAGTGATTTATGTTGAAAATTACGAATATATGATGAAATTCGAATTCGTAAATTTCCAAAGTGTCGGAAAGTTTAGACGAGGCCTACGCGAGCGAGTCGGCGAACGTGCACGGCTGTAGATTTGCCGTTATCGTGCGTGGTATAATCATAGGTCACGCATCGCGGCGTAGTTTCACCGGCGGGGATAAACCTAAGATTCGTTTAGTCGCGCTCTCTTCGGCTCTCTTCGAGATTTTTCACCCTGCGACGCGTCCTTTCCCTGCCATTTCGAAATATTTGTCATACACACACACACACACACACACACATGCATCGCCAGTATGTTTCGCGCGTATTCCATTCGCATCAACTCGAAATTTTTCGCGCCTCTTTCTCGCATTACACGCCGTTGAGAACTTGGAGTCGCGAGGAGAAAACGCAGCACCGGAACGACCATCGACGGGTAGACGAACGAAGAAACGAACGAACGAACTGTCTACGATATCCTGTACGTTCTGTAGATCCTGGACGGCTCGTACTGTAGCCAACACTTCATAAGCCGACACTTCCACGGTACGCTTGGTAATTCGAGAGCACTAGAAGCCGCAGTCAACGTTCGCCGAGCACCTAGTGTACAACGCGGCCGAGAGAGACGATCCGCGTCCTATTTCCTCGACATAGCTCCCTTCGTCGTCGGTGTGAGTCTCGATTTTTTCGATTCCCGCGGGCTCGCGAAGCGTCGATTCAACGCGAAACAACGGGCTTTCTCATCGTGTGCAGGTAATCGATTGTGAAATTTGCGAATTTATGAATTTTTAAAGTGCAGTTGAGCAGAGAAAAGATGTCGCGCGATTGCTCGTTGGTGTAATTTATTTGTTTATTTAAAGAAAAAAGTGCCAATACTTGGACACGTAACTCTGGACATTCTCAGTGTTTTGGTTTTTAAATTTATAAACTTTTAACCTAAAAAATATATATGCTACGTATATTTATATTTTATTAATATATGTACTATATATTTAAAAAAAATATATACATATATTCTATATTTGAAATTTAAATATTAGTAATTAAAAAAGACCAAAATAATAAGAATGTTCAAAGTTAAGTTTGTGTCCAGGCTTTGGAAATTTTACCTTGCCTATTTATTTCACGCGAAAATCCTTTTATTTACAAAATAAAACTCATCACTAAAGTGTCTGAAAATAGATAAGCATACACAGACACAGATAAGGAGATTGTAAATCTAACTGTTCATCTAATAATTAAGCTAAGCAAATGATTAAGTGAAAATAAGCTTAAATAAAAGTAAGCTGAAGTAAATATTCGATGTTCGAATATTGAGTATACACTACAAATCATAAGGCATAGCAAAGCGTTTAAAGGAAGCAACAGAGACTTTGCGAACGTTAAGTATGCCCTTCTAATTCAAAGTTCCGTTTTTCTTATCCTCTGTGTATATGTGTGTATGTGTATGTGTATGTGTATGTGTATATGTGTGTATGTGTGTACAACTTGAGAATTAGAAAGACATATTTAGTGTTTAACTCCTGATCTCGAAAAGAAATCGGAAGAACACGACGCATGACAAGCGTAACTGTACATTCTAAATATTTGCAAAGCTGTATTGTGTGTGTAAATATGCCGCGGCAACTCGTTCTGTCGCTTGGAAGGTTCCAAGGCAGGTAGAAAACAAAGGCAGAAGATACGAGAAAAAGAAGGAATGTAGTAGAAACTGGACGGCGGATATACGAGCGCGTTTTGATTGCAACGCGTAAATTACGACCACTTAATTCGACCTGTGTCGCGTTAATAATAGCGCGCCTAGTTGCATTCACGGATCACCAGTAGATTCGGATGAGAGGCAACTTTCTATCTAGTTGGGTCGTACTTTCTCCCGTCAGCCGGTGCTGTTGTTGATTTGGCTGGTCACAATCTCTATGAATTTAATAATATATTTCCATGAGAGATGAGCTCGCGAGAATGAGACGCGATCCAAAGCGAAGACGATAGTAAATTCGCATAATACATGAGAACACACGTAATACACCTAAGGATGTCAGAAATATATATATTTAAATCACTGTCATTTATTATATGGAACGCGTATGCTAAAAGTCCGTACTTTCCGAATATCGTGAGGAATGTCGGAGGAACGGGCCACGTGCCAAATATTAATGAGAAGTCGACAAGGCATTCTTTTGAATCCTTTTACACTTTGATTATTTAATCGTCCATTCAATTGCTGAATTATTCGTTTAACTTTCTCCAGCAGCCGAAACACACACTCAGCAGATTTATTTTTAATAAATCTGATAAATTTATAATTATTTAATATATTACTCAATAGTATATTAAATAATTTTATTATATGAGATACATTAAATATAATATTAATATGTAAAATAACTTAAAATGCTATTTTATATACTAAAAATTATTAAATTTATTTAATGAAATTTCCATTTTTGCTTTACAAAGACAACTAACCGACGAAGATTTATGATTCGACGTCTTCGGTTATCGTTAAAGAAATATCACGTTACGAATCGCGATTTTCATATCGATTAATCATATCGATTCATATCGATTAATTGGTTCAATGCAAAAACTAACGATCGATTAATGCAACGCCCTTCTGCTGAGTTGCATTATTCAACAGAGGCAAAGTGCGATAACGAGCTCGTAGCAACATTGAACGACATTTGCATAAATTATCTTGATACTAATAATTGTCCTGTCGCACATCAATAATACGTTATTCATATTTTATTATTATCATGGCATTTTAAAGGTGTTCTACTTGTATTGTCGGAGTAACAGCTTGTTCGACGACACTTCGCTTCACTTATTACGCGCGACGACGTCTCGCAGAATGAATCTCAAGGAAGGCGTACATGTGATCTACGATCTATTATTGTTCATCGGGATGACGGTGATTTATTTCACGGAGGCAGCACTGCTCATGCTGATTCCTCGCCGGTATCGCGCCAAATCGATCGCGGGCGAGATTGCCCTCGTCACGGGCGGCGCGGGCGGAATCGGCCGATTGATCGCGATCAAACTCGCGAAACTCGGCGCACAAGTGATCATTTGGGACATCGACCAGCAAGGTGAGGACTTTTTGCCACAATTGCCGCAATTTCTGAAGAATCAAGTGTTCGCGAATCGTTTTTGGAATTTGAAAATCGACCCCGAGTCAATATTTCCAAAAACAGAGATCGCGCGGCGTAAAATCACAGAAAAAAAGAATACGATCTTTGATGAATATTTTAAAATTAAAAACTAAAATTTCATTGAATTGACACTTTCTCCACTACGATTTATTTAAAGGATTCTCTCCACAGACTACTTACAAAGAAACCCACATAAATGTTTATCTCCGATTTTCATGAACTTATAATATGTTATACTTTACATCAAAATAACAGATACGTTTTTTATTATATGTGCCCTTTCGCAAGTTTAGGGGGTAAAATATCCCTTTGAAGAAAATCGGTTTTTTTCATTCAAGGGAATATAATGGAAACTATAAGAGATAGAAAAAAATATTTTGAATAAAAGTTGAATTATTTAAAGAATATTTTACAGAAATTATTTTAATAATTATAATAAGAAGAATTGGTGAGGGAAATATTAACAAAAAAATTTTTTTTAAATAATTTCTGTAAAATAATTCTTCACAAACCATCTAACTTTTATTCAAAATATTTTTTTCTATCTCTTATAGTTTTCATTATACTGGCTTTGAATGAAAAAAAACCGATTTTCTTCAAAGGGGTATTTCACTCCCTAAACTTGCGAAAAGGCACATATAAAAAACATATCTGTTATTTTGATCTAAAGTACAATATACAAGTTCGTGAAAATCGGAGGCGGACACTTGTGTGAGTTTCTTTGTTAGTATTTCTTTTTTTCTTTATTTCTTTAATCATTATATTTTCATTATTTCTTGAATTATTAAATTTATTATTAATTGTATGAACATAGAAAAATTAATTTTTTTTACTGTCACACATATGAGTGGCGTTGGTTTTTCGCGAGAGGTGGCGAATGTATTAACCTGACGTATTTATTTGACTAATCCAAATAAAATTTAAGGAAAAAATTCTTGAATGTTTAAACAAAAAGTAAATGATGTCTGCTGAATGTAATTGTATTGTTTCTTGAATATCATTTTGAAAATATATTTTCAACGATTTTTGTCATCCAGTAGCAAAACTGCTAAAATACACGTTGTGCAAGGAAAATACGCGTTGTGCAAGGAAAATGCGCATTGTGCAGTGTTAAAATTTTCCTATGGCTTGTCGTACGTTAACTTTATGGTTTGTATTATGAGTCGAGTTATAGACACATTTTTACACCTATCTACACGATGCATTCAGCTCGACGCGAAGTACGTGCGTTTCAAACACATTTCCAAGACACTTGGTTACTCGTAAAATTTTTCATTATGACCCCCGTTCTTCCACCTGCACGTTTAATGACTTTTCTGCGTGTTCTGCATACAATGCAATGAGCGCGGATAACGCGGCGCGTCTTTAGATGACTTGCAAGTCGTTTGCAAGAATTCTCTTTTTTGTAAAATCAAACACGCGAGTAACACGAATCGTTACACTGTTGCAAATGAGACGCATATACAGGTCTCGTGGAAGTTGCGGAGGAAATCAAGAAAACCGGGGGAACTTGCCACACGTATTGCTGCGATATCGCCAATAAGGAGGAGGTTTATCGCACCGCGAAAGCGACGAAGATCGAAGTCGGAAATGTGAGTAATGAAACGAGTCGAAGTCGGGTTTTCTTTTGCGATTTCGCATTTAAAGTGTGCGACTATCTAATGGATGATCTAAATGGCAGAATACACAAAAAAAAATCATTCTACTGCTATAAAAAGTGATTATGCGATTTACTTTCCTTCTTTTGAGTAATAGTTATATAAGAATATTTTCTTGATAGTAGTCTTAGAATATACTCGTGACAAATTTTGTAACAGCTCATTATCATTTAATCAAAAAAAGAATTTACAGAAAGAGAATTTTATAGTTATCACAGGGCTTGTAACCGAGAAATCATTTGATATTCTGCAGCAATTCATTTTATATGTGTTACTTATATTTCAAGGACTGAAATATATTATTTAAAATTTATTATGTTTCTTAGTAAGATCTTACTTGACAGCCTATTTCTGGATTACTAAAAGAAATAGTAATGAATAGTATTGAAAACATTTATGTGAAAAAAAATTATAATATTGCTCCATATACAAGAATGTTCTAAAATCTTTTTCGAGTACAAAGCCGGTTCGGCTCTATGTAAACCGACCGGTTTTTGTTTTAATTAAAATTTTTTATTGAAATGCTAAACCTACTGGGATTCAAAATGTATCTTAAACAAATCTGACTTATAACGAACTCACAAGATAGATTTGCTTATATGAGCTTATACGAGCTTATGAAAAATGTATTATTCTGTGTGTAGAATTCATTAGCGCGATTATTTGACAGGTGAGTTTGTTGGTGAATAACGCCGGATATGTGTGCGGCAAAACGCTTATGGAATTGCCCGATCGCGAAATCGTGCGCACTTTTCAAGTGAACATTTTGTCGCATTATTGGGTGAGTGTATGGCCTCCGTTAATTAATTTGCAAAGCATTGCGCGAAATCGTAACAATCCATATCTACGAGTCGAGTGTCCATTTTTTTCTCTCTTTTTTATTTGATAAGCCAATTTAATTCTCAATTTTGCGCTTTACTTGTCACTGCAGATTACAAAGTCGTTTTTAAGAGACATGATGAAGAATAATCACGGCCACATCGTGACGATGGCGAGCGTCGCTGGACTCGTGGGAAATTACAATTGCACGGATTATTCCGCGACGAAGTTCGCCGCGGTCGGATATCACGAGAGCCTCTTTGCCGAGCTAAAAGTATCTCAGTAGCTAAAAGTATCTCAGTAGCACAGTTCATTGGCTTTACATTTATTGGCCCAATATTGAGTACATTTAGAGTCAATATTGATTACATTAGAGTCGTTTACAGAGTTACAAAATTTAGAGTCTTAATAAATAATAATTCGATATTATAGTTATCGATTAGCCGAAAGTCCTGCTAAGCGCACCATTATCGTTAATTGGGTCTGACATATTTTTAAGGTGCACGGCTACGATAAGATTCACATGACACTGGTTTGCCCATATCTCACAAACACGGGAATGTTCGACGGAGTAAAAAGCAGGTCGGTGGAAACACGTATGCACGACGAATGTTAAAAAAAAAACAAGAATCGGTCCAATATTTATGTTTAATATCTCGCACGAGTGATATGTGACCAAACAACTCGTAAAACAGGTTGATGCCGACACTCGAGCCAGAATACGTTGCGGAAGAAGTAGTAGCGGGTATATTAGCAAATGAGATGATGATAGTGTTACCTAACATCATGATGTACCTGCTGCTGTTCAAATGGTGAGTTCGACGAGCGACAAATGCCTCAGCAATTTGATACCAAATTGTCGTCAAATATGACCAAAACTTGACGGCAAACCCGATGCCATCTGCGTCCGCAATATGCTTGGGTTTTGTTAGCAAAGCTTGGTGACAAAATCTGACGCCAAATTGTCGCCAAATATCGAGGAAAGTTTGGCTCCAAACTGCGCCGCACAAACCTTGGTCGGTATTTGGCGTTAGATTTCACCAAGCTTCAGTATTTGGCATCAATTTGACGTCAAACTGAGCCGCACAAACCTTGCTCAGTATCTGGCGCCATATTGGCCAATTTGCCAACAACCTTTGATTTAGCAGATGTTGTGTCCAATTTGATGACATTTTGGCAGCAAAATTTGTAGTCAAGTGTTGGGCAAAATTTGCTCGAGCAGATTTGGCTATGTGGGGTGTTACTCTTGAAAGTTCAACGTAATATTTTGTTGCATATCAGTTTGGTACCAGCGAAAATGTGCTGGGCGGTCATATACCACATCTTTAAAGAGCCACAAGCTATGATGATGTTCAGAGGCCGCCAGTCGAGAAAAGTAACGAACAATGGTAATAATAATACAACTAATTGTAAGGGTATATGTGCGCAATAAAATTATATAAAACTTAAATATGATACTGTGCAAAACATTCTGCCCTCACAAAAACAAGATTTAACAAGTTGTAACTCGATGCATGTATCGAATTTTTTATACACTTCTCCATGAAAGACTTCATGGACTTCATTCAACTAAAATATGAAGTTGAAAATTGCATTTAACATTATTTGTAATTAGATTATTATTATTATTATTATTATTATTTGTTATTATTATATTATTATTATTATAATTGTTATTATTATATTATTATTATTATTATTATTTGTCATTATTTGTCATTATTTGTCATTAGATAATAATATTGGTATTAATAAAAACACCGCGATTATATATGAGGTTATATATAATAATCAATAAATTATTAATTAATAATTATTAATAATTATTTAATAATAATAATAATAATTTATTAATAATTATTAATTATTTATTATTTTATTAATTAATAAATTATATTATATTATATATAGAAATATATAAACCTACTTATAAAGATTTTACTCTCTTCCTTTTTTTTCCTTTTATTTATATTTATACTTCTTCTAGGACGCACAGATCTTTTCTTACACACACATAAGTACGATAGATCAACGTCTCTTTGACAGATCATAACACAACCTGATCTGTCACCATCTGACAGCTGCAAGCAGCACGAATCTAGTCAATTGAGATGGTCAAGACAGCCAATCAGCATCGCGGAAAAGAGGCTTCAAGTTTCGATACATTCGAGATTTTCGGTAACACGCACTTTTTCTGATAGAAAGTGATGACACAGCAAATGATGACACGTTTATGATGTTAATATAATTAACAACTAGAGAATTCAAGTTACAAAATGCTTTTCAAACAATCGCGATATTGTAATTTTTGCCATAGTTACAGCACGTTGAAAATCTCGCTTATCTTTTAAAATAAAGTAACGAAACATTTAATCTGATCTGTGTGACCGCCGTTGAGAACTGTACTTCGATACCCACAGATGTCTATACTAGACTGCTAACATGTTATTGGGATAGCATGGCTTGCGTCCAATGTCCGACAGAGTTTCCGATGTTTGCGAGAAAATGACCTGCATGTATGGAATCTTAAGCCCATTCTACAATTGCGTGAACGTGGTGTAAGTGGTTGTATGTGATTACGACAACCAATCAGAATAAAGCAATCAGTAAATAAAACATTCGGATTGGTTGACTCTTACGTCACGCTACGTTTACGCAATTGTAGAATGGGCTTTACAGCATGTTCGACTCTGGGTTAAAATGACCTGCATGTATGGAAACTCTGGGTTAATCAGCCTACATTTATTGGTCGAATAAGTACTTATAAACTTTATGATTGGCTAGTAGACACTTATGATGTCATTAATCGCTTTCGGAGCGATTAATCCAGAGCCAGTCGAATACGCTATTAGTTTTACAATCTATTGAATTTTTATGATTATGAAAAATGATCTTATAATTCTTATACAGTGTGGTTTTGTAGCTAATATAAGGTGTAGTAAAAAGAAATCCATTATTTTTCCAATAGATGGCTTTAGTAATGTGTATCTCGCGTTGTATAAGTGCGATCGGTTTACGCTAGATGGCGTTAGAAAGATAAGATTTCGTACTAAAAAAACTTCTCAGACAGTTTTGTGATTGTTTGACTCAGTATTGTTTGAGCGCGCGTGAAAGATGGACATTAGCAAAGAGAAAATAAGCC